TCCGTCACCCCTTGACAATCAAGACTTCAAGACTTCAAGACTTTTTACAGGCACGTTTCGGTCCCAAGCGTGCGCGCGCGACTGTACGGATACAAAGAGTTGACTCCAGTCGAATTGTCGCAGCTGTTTTCGTAGCCTTGCGTGCACAGCGCATAAAGCAACAAGACTTCGCATTTCACGTCGACGCTCGAAGCATGGCGAACGTCAAAGCACTGCAATATGAGAAACAACAGGAGACGCAAGGAAGTGGGAGGATTTTACATAGAATCTATAAAATGAATGATTACGAGAGCGAACTTGATGGCCGTGAAGCGATGGCGCCGTGACGCGTCGCGACGTCATGCGTCTCTTCTGTTTCATCAGGACGCGATACAAGTTTCACTCCGACATCACAAAATTCTGTGTCGCGAATAATAATTAAATTATTTGATCCGATATCGAGAATCACTGTAGACGCAGATAATCATCGATTTTAAATTTCCGCAGAACGCAATTCGCATTCACGAGAACACCCGATGATCAAATACTATGGCAAAACTCGAGTTTCCATGAGAAGTTAGAATTATACAAACGACCTCCTCTCACACGGATTGAATTTCAAATATTTTGCGATTAGATAAAAACATAAAAACCTTCGCCTCGCTATATTTAATACGGATCTATATGTGCATCCATTATTGAAGAATTTTGTGTACTAGGGAGATTAGAGGTAAAAACGAAAATATCCCTGTGCAAGGTGTGTGTGCGCGTGCGTGTGCGCGCGTGTGTGTGTGTGTGAGAGAGAGAGAGTACAAAAAGAGAAAAAGGTGCTGCCTTGAAAATAACGAAGAGCCAATGAAAATATAAAAATCCTCGTAAAGGAACAGGTCAAATTCTGATCAGGAAAATCGGTGATACCCGCCATTATGGAAACTTATTAACGACTTAATGACTGCTAACTACAATCACCAACCTTGCACGGGTCTTTTCATTTTACAAACCTGCTTTTCTCGACTTTAGGTTTCATTTTCATTGCCATAGTCGTTTAACGCTTGTGCGCAGACCCGTTATATATGTATAGGCAAATCAATAGTTTCCAAATAAATAACGGAACAATCATATAATAGGTAAACTGGATTCCTTTGAACGAATAAAGTGGCCGATTTCAATGTCGTCAGCCATTAGAGAAAGTAACTCCTAATTAGTGCTATCGAATTATTATTTCTTTTAAATTCATTTCGAGGTGTCTACCCCCCCCCCCCCCC